CTATGTTGGATGTATGTACATGCCTCTGGTTCCAATATTGCTGAAAGGCTTGATTTCAATGACCTTTTTTTTAGTACAAACGCTCGCCATAAGTTCTTCTTTTTAACACTTCATCTGAACAGGACCTAATACACCTAGGTCAAGATTGAAGCATTTGCTGTATGTTCAGTGGTAATACAAATTGGTTAATTTTTCTGTACCTATCTTGGAGATGCACTTCTAATAGAGTAAATACGGTATTCAACTAATTATTTTTATTAGTTTAAAATTGAAACATTTTTCTATTGACAGACGTATACCAAAAAATAAAACAATCCCAGAACAGTAAGACTTTCTTAGCCCCCCCACTCTAATCCTAACCCTGCCGCTCCACCAGTTCAATTGTATATGTGTAATTTGGAGGGGCATACACAATTACATTGAGAGGGGGCAGGAGTGTTAGGGTTCAGGTTAGGGTTGGGGGGTGATGTCTTAAAGGAACTCTTTCCCTTATACAGTAAAACAATAAAAAGTAAAATAAAATACAGTATAACAATTCACTGGTTTGAAGGAAGATGGTGGTAAACATAAAATGGAAGAAATAATTCTAGTCAGCAAATTAAAAATCTAAATCTTTCAAAATGTTTGTAATTTACAGTAATTATATATACTGGTAATTTTAAATTGGAAGGAAAGGAACCATTCAAACAAAAAAGAAAGAAAACTGGCTGGAAGTTAAACTATGATACTGTGAAATGGTAAACTAATTACAACTATTACAAAAATATTTACACTGATAAGACTGATGCGGCTAATAGCGGTAATGTTTGCAAACCTCCGCCAAGATTTTGTTGAGAACAAGCGAGCCACACAACTTTTTGCTCCCCAAATAATGTTTCTTTCAGTCATCACGCTTTTGCTCCAGAGGTCAATCCGGTGGACATGATATTGGTGGAGAATGTAACACTATTCAGGGAGGGGAAGTGGGCGAAAGAAAAGCCACATGGCCATTAGCACTAAGCAACAAATAAGGTATATTCAAAGTAATTTGAATATAACAAGTCTATTCAATTTGATCATAGCCGAATTAGGTACAATATGAAATGCAGCTGGTTTTACTTTCAAAAATAAAAATCTCCAGTAATCAAAGTAGAGTTGTTTTTTCGTCAACTCAACTATTTTTCTAAAAACGTGCATGATTTTTTTGTCTCAAAGCGAAGAATTGAGGGAATTGAGTACCAAGCGATGATATTAACACACGCTAAAAACACAAAGGCTCATGGGTAGACACTTGTTTGTAAACAACGACATGCTATGGCCATTTGATGCATGCGCAGGTGACGACTACCCCACTTTAATATTTGTACAGCACAAATGTATCAAACTACATGTATTCCCATGGTGCAAAAACTAAAAATATTAAAAAAAACTGCATACCAGCATATCATGCAGAATAACAAATTTCATTCACAAATGTGGAATAATAAACAGGCATATTACTCACATAACAATCAAGACTTTTCTTTTCTACAAATGATACAAACTTCAACACTTAAGTTGGTCAATCTATGACTCTAGTGACTACTACATTCCGTGATTGCCTATTTACTAACATTTATGGGGAAAATTTATTCTGATTACAGCGGGATTCAAAATTGCTACCTCTTTTGAAACTAATTTGCTTTCAACCATTCATTTGCATATCTCAATTTCTACTGTATTTCACAGAGATGGTTGACCCCGATGTCACAATGGCTACTGCATGACATAATTCACTTATTCTCCCCCACCACAGTGTTTTACCACTACACTCCAGACAATTCCTGGCAGAATACATGACGATGCCTGTATTTGTGAACTATGATTTGAGTAGACATCATGAAAGAAAATGACCAATCGGTGCTCGTTTTAGAACAAGAGCACTAATTGTCTAGTTCTACAAGCAGATTGATTGGCCAGTCCCTTGTGATGGAAGAGAGACGCACTGATTGGTACATTTGCAAACTACTGAATACTACAATGTGGGTGCATTTCACCATGGCTTACTTGTGGTTACAATGGAATAGGAAGACAAAATTTACAAATTCTACCAGAATTTTGAAAATGAAAGAAACGTTGACCAAAAATACGGCTGAAAAGTCTGGGATGGCAAATGATGGAAGTAATAATTATAATGATTTAGTGCTGCAACAGCACATGTCTGTTTTGAAAGCAAAATCATCATCCAACTGTGGCTGATTAGCTCCTAAAGTATGACGACAGTCCCCTGCTGTTATATAGATTCGCCCAGAGTGGGCGTGAGCACAAGACGGCGCCAGCGAGATTCAAAAGCCAGCTGTTGAGTCAAAACCCAAGCAGTTAACCAATTCGATAGCAAGTTTGCAAATTGGCTGCCACAATACTTCTGAGACTTGCTGTAATTACAGAGGTGTGTCTATGGTCAAAATAAGTAATATTTTATGATACAGTGTACAACAAATGAGATTTTTAGTATATGTGATTAGAGATGCACTTTCAATAGAGCAAATATGGCATAGGGCTGGTGTGTGTGTAAAAAGAATTCAAAGTCAGTGTGCTGTTATTTGGTTGCGTACTTCTATTGTACAAATCAATCATTGTTCTTTCCATCTTAACTGTATATTGAAACACTACAAACAGTTAAACAACTTATTTAACATTTTTTGGTGATTTTGACCTAAAATGTAAGAAATTCTGGATATATTTATTTGGTAATAAATAACATTTAAGAATTAAAGAGATTACCCTAAAACTACCAGAATGTTTGCACATGGTTAATTTTTTTCATAGATTCTTCAGATGTCTGTCCTTTCATTTTGGAAAATTAAAAAAAGATTAAAAGTTTAAATAAAAGATTAAAGTTTAGTCGCAACCGAAGTGAAGCAAATTATTAGGTAACATAAATTTGTTTAATTGTTTTTTAATTGTGAACCGCAATTATCTTTATGGCCTTTGTCCCATGCCTCACTTTGACATTTTCTTGAGCAATATATAGCAGAGCAGTATGCACATCGCTTCAATTTCTGTCCACCTCCTTTCCAGCACAATCCGCAACGTCGTGCATTTTCTACCCCTTTGTTATCTCGATAAGCCAGAAGAACCTAGACAATGTAAAAAACAGTGGAACATTTACAAAATTAAAATCATATTAATAAACACAAAACCCACGTAGTACCCATAATCCTCCATTTGACCAGTGTGATACATACTTCATGTATTGAGAGATTCATTTTACCTTTTCATAGTGTATATAGAATGTATAATCATCTTTTCGCATGAAAGCACACTGCTCAGCATCAACTACGGCACGAAGATAGTCTTTTAATTCGAATAAAGCTTTAGATCGACGGAACATAGCTTTAAGTAGAATCGGAGTTACTTCAGCAAAAGTTTTGAATATATCTGTGAAAAGAGGAAAATAAGCTGTACGGTAGTTGTAATTTTCAAGGATGATTAACTTCACTGAAGAAGCTGTATTCATTGACTCACATTATCAAATAGTTACAGGTAAACAGACATTCATATAACTCCACAAGATTTAAAGCGGGGGAGTCCTCACCTGCGCATGCGTCAGATGGCCATACCCATGAGACTTTGCGTTTTTAGTGTGTGTTGTTATCGTCGTTTGGAATTCAATCTCACGTGTACGCAGGTGACGACGCTCCCGCTTTAAACTTTCGCACATAGCATAGCGCCTCTACTGCACGCAAACGCACTAACCACCCAGTCATACAAACTGACCCAAAAGTCAACTCAAAATGACCTGTATTTAAGACCCATTTTCAGTATTATGCCATTTTTTCGCCAGAATCAATGCCAACAGATCACATGCAACGTTGGTAATTCATTTTTTCATTGCGTTATCACATATCACTGGTATAAAGGTATAAAGTTATAATTACCTTGTTTAGTTAAGTCTACAGCACTCAATGAAGTGTAGTAGTCAGCTGCACCACCTACGTCTATCAGATCATCTACACAACAGTACACAAACAAAATGGTAATCATTCAGGTTTTTTTTGGGGGGGGAGTGTGACTGGAAACCAGATCAGATTCTCTTATTATATCTGTAGTCCATGTTGATTGGTCGAAAAATGGCAACATAGTAGTGAATTTTAAGAAAATATTTTCAAACGTAGTATGTTTGTATTTTATTGTATGCAATTATTTTATTGAATTTAATCTTGCTAATTTAATTTATTAATGTATATATTTCATGTATATTTCATGCAGGACTCCATTGGAAATCAATGGATTATCCTGGTTAAATAAATAAACAAACAAATAAATAAATAAAACTCATCAATAATAACAATGCAGATTGTGACTGAGACAGTTTTCCCGACTCAGATTTTTTTTTAAACTGTAAATTTAGATGGTAAATAATGATGTAATAAAATACACTTTGTGAATATTTTTGTTTCTTCATTTTAGTATTGTTGTGGAAATCAATGACAATTCAACTCATTTTATTTTCCCCAAATAGTATCTGGCAAATGGAAAATGAATATTGTCATTTTTTTTTGTGGGGGGACTTAAAATGTTAGACTAGAAAATCTTCATCTTTCTGAGGTGGTTCTTGAGTGTACGCCCACCCTTCACATTCCCTGAACTTACAATTTGAGGCTTTATGGCTTATGATCAGGGAGGTAATATATTAAGTTAAATAAGGAAATTATGTCTACTGATCTGCTTGTTACAAGCACTCCACAGCATACTTAATTAGTTGTCATAAATCATTGATTGAAATGAAATACTGTGGAATACTTTATTTTCGCTGGAATTAATTTTCACTGAAAACGCTTTTTGGGCGTTTTGCTTGGAATTTATTTTCACTGATTTTTGATGAGATTAATGTGAAATATAGGCAAAAAAGTATATTCGCTGGATTTTATTTTCATGGAATCATCCCTTCAGCAAAAATAAATTCCAAGCGGAAAAATAAAGTATTCCACAGTATTAGCATTGAGGTTTATATACAGTACTAACAAAACATCATTGGTATCATCTACAGCTAAGTTGGAAGCAAACAAAATGATGGAGTACATCGTTCAATGCACTGTGGATTACAATTAGTGATTCACAAAATTACAATTACTTTAAAATCTGTAATTGAAGCCACCACGGCTTCTATTAAAATGGTACAATGCAACAGAATGGATGCGGTTTCTATTAGAACACAGGAGAAATGGTGAATTTTTGATTCTTAGTAGTTCAAAAAGAATGGGTACTACTTCTATTAGGGATGTAGCTTCTAATACAGATTTTACGATATTAATTTTCTTCATTCCTGTGTATTTATGGAATTTTTTAACTCTATGTGACAAAATTTGACCAATCACAGCACAGAAGCTACAATGTTCTTCTGGGTTACAATGCTGGGTATAATACACACACACAATGACACATAAAAAGAATGTCACCATTTCAATATACTTACAATGTAGGCATCGTATTATAGCATAATCACAATCACTCACAGCTTCCTGCCAACGTTTCAAATTTATGTAACACTGAGCTCTGTTACCATACAGCGTAGCAAGTAGACTACACCTGAATGAAGAATGACAAATAATAAACGCATAATCATATAACGAGTTAGTACGAGGATACCGCAAAGTATGCATGAAGACAGTACAGCAGGAGTATCAACTGACGTCATGTCTCCTAGTATGGTCAGATGAAAAAAACCAGTGCAATACCGCAAAATGACAGCACATTCATGACTGTATGATAGTATGAATATACATGACCTTTTTAGACAGTTTAGACTAAATCCCAGTTTGTAAAGGGTTTGGTGTAGACAGATTCAACTTAGTTTCATCGTAATGAATGAATGGATGGTGCTAACGTGTTTGAATTACAATAGCTCATTTAAATATGTTAATGACAGTTCATCAACTCTATGGTGAACGCAACACAGAAGAGATTTACCGATGTTGTAGTGCGATCTTTTAGTTTCCATTTTGATGGGAAAACGGCATGATTTTTGTTAAATCAAGAAATTAGTTGTTTTTGAAAGATAAACAGAGCTTTGAAGAAGTATTTAACACTTGCGGTGATAACAGCTCAATGTCGAAAACTTTGGCGCGTGAGCAAAAAATAGGTGTGAATATTTTTCAGGCATGTCGTCAAATCAAATGAATAGGATTAGGAACAATGCCGTTGTGGACAAACTGGTTGAAACAATGAAGTTAGTCACGGTCTTGTTGAATTTGGGGTGCGGTTAATAATGGGTGGTTTTCATGTTTTCAATTTTTGTCCATAACTCTTTAACCCTGAAGTCGCAATTGGAGGTGTGGTTACTATTGCGTATGCGATTTATATTAGGACTTTTACGGTAGCTGTTACGGTAACTTACTTGTTTTCCAAGTGTTGCAATTGTTGATTATTACTCAGTAGTGATTATAGTAATGTACAACAAGTCATTGTCAATGACATAGTCATTGATTGACGGACGGATGGACACGCGCACACACACACACACACGAACGGAACCCAAAACATAAGTCCCCGTTTCAGACTACGTCTGACGGCGACTAAAACATAAATTTGTTGGATTGTTATGAAATGCAAGTAAAATTCAACTTTCATCGTAAACTAATGATCCATTCAAATGCTCAAACAAAACAATATCTGCCATGTTTTCCCCATGAGTTGACCTAAAACTGCGTTCTTTGACCTGATAGGTATGTTACTAATTAACTAATCAGAAAACTGGATGATGCTAATGTTCAAATTGACATTTAAATATGCTAATGCAGTGCAACATGGAAGATTTTCATCACTGTTGTAGTACAATCTTTTAGCACTGATTTTAGTAGGAAAACATTATTTTTTTTTTTTTTTTAATCTAGAAATTAGTTTTTTTTTTGGAAAGAAATACTGAGCATTGAAGAATAATTTACCACATTTTTTAACGGCGATAACAGCTCATTGTCGAAACAAAGTTCACCCATTATGGAAAACCTAAAATTAGACTATTTCCAGTTTATAAAGAGTTTTGTTTCGACAGATTTTCATTTTTTCATGTGCAACTGTTTCCTGAATTTAGGAACAGACAGATTTTACAATATAGAAAAAAGGACGA